GCCAGTTCCATGTCGGGCTGTAGGTCTCGGGGCAGGCTGAACACGAAGGCGTAGTTCAGGACGTAGCGCTTCAGCTCCTCGGTGGGGAAGCCCCCGGCGTGCTTCCACGCGCATTGCAGCGCCTGGCGCCAGCTGCTCATGTCCGTCGTGCGGAGGTGGCAGACGTACGGGACGGCTTCGGTGGCCTCGTGTGGGTTGCTGGTCCAGGGACAGAAGAGCAGCAGGATCTTCATGATGTGCTCCTCCTCGCTGCGGCTGCCGAGCGCACCGTAGAGGACCGGCACGTGCGGCCGCTTGCGGGGGACGATGACCCAGTCGTGGCGATGCTTCCGCACGCGGTTGCCGTTGCCCAGCGGCATCCAGTTTTCCCCGCCTTGTTCTCGGATCAGGTAGTCCGTGCCGCCCTGCAGAAGTCGACGGCCGAGTTTCTTGCCGAGCTTCTCCTTGCCTTTGTCCGTCAGCAGGGCGTGGTAGGCGATGTCGTTGTCGGCGGCTGCTTCGCGATCAGCGGCGGCGGCCTCCTCCTGCTGCTTTAGGGACCATGGATACCTGACTGGCTGGATGTGGTAGTACCGCGCGAACTCGAAGGCCGAGAGGGGCTGCACTCTGGGGTCCGTGCCGCGGTTGCCGTAGACGGTCCACAGCTGTGGATGGGCGACGAGCTTCCTTTTGCTTTTGTTGCCGGGTCTGTCGACCCACCCACTGAGGTCGCTCTGGATCTTTGCGCGCTCTGTCGGCAGCGGCCGGCCCTCGGTGGCGGCTTGCATGAGCTCGAGGCCCATCTGGAGGGACATTTCCGCGAGTGCTGCGGTCTTGATGGCTTCCGCGGCGGTGGGGTCGCTGTGGCCGGCGTTGTCGATGGGGTTGGTGCACTCCACGGAGCCTCGGACCACGCCCCGGGCGAAGGCGTCCGTCATGAGGCGCTTCGAGGCTCTGGCTCCCACGTAGCCGGCGGAGGAGTTGTTCCGCAGTTCGGTCTCCAGGTCCTTGTGGCTCTTGTTCCACTCTTGGACCTCGTTGACCGCGATGGGGTTCCGCTTGTTTTGGTAGTCGCATGCATAGCCTGCCTTCGCTGCTTGGTTCAGCTGGGCCTGGTAGGTCATCTCCCGCAGGCTGCTCTTCGTCGGGCAGTCTCGCGTGCAGCGGCCGGCGGCGTCGTGCAGGTCCTCGGTGATCGGGAAGCGGTAGGGCAGCTGGACGTCGCCGTTGCAGCGCAGGGCGGCCAGCAGCGCGGGGCGGTTGCCGTTGAGGTTCGGGTCGTTGCAAGGCCCCCAGAGACGGCCGAGGGCGCTGCGCTTGCCCTTGACCGGCATGCCCATCTTTTCTGCGAGTCCCTCGCACACGAGTGTCGTGCTGTCCACCAGCTGCTTCTCGCGAGGGAAGCCTGCCTTGCACTTCGTGGGGTCTTTCTTGTCGCGACAGTGGTCGAGCGGCAGCCGCGGACCGTTCGTCGTCTTGGGGAGGTGCACGTGATGTTGCTTCAGCTGCTGCAGGGCCTCCACGTCCTCGTCGAGATAGAGCCGTCGCCAGGTCGTGGCGTCCGTGGACGCGTCTGTGCTCTGGTAGTGCGGGCGGATCAGGGCCAGGTAGGAGTCGCGGTAGGCGGGCCACTGCTCCTCCGTTTCCGGGCGCTTCTTCTCCCAGGTTTGCGGGTCCCGGTAGATGGTGCGGCTGACGTGGGCCGTGTAGGTGCAGTACTTCTGGAAGCGTTCTTGCTTGCGTGCGGGACCCAGGGCCTGCAGCTCCGCGAGGGACTTGAACTGGTGGAAGCACTGGAGGAAGAGCTGCACAGGGGGCGGCGGTGGCGTCGGTGTCGCATGGCCTTTCTTTGGTTGTCTCTCATGACTGTGCCGGCGTGCCTGGAAGTGGACGTGCAGCACCCCGGACTTCTGGCTTTCGATGGACCCGAACGCGGCGTCGATGCGGCCGAAGATCCCGCCGCAGGCCATGGCGTTGCTGCCGAAGGCGTCCGCGCAGGGTGGTTTGGACTTGCTGCAATTCGGGCACTGGGGGCAGTAGCGGACGCCGAAGAGGTGGCGCAGCGCGAGCTGCACGAGGGTGCGGAAGCCGTCGGCGCAGGCCACGGGATCCTTGGTGAGCATGGACCGGCGAGCGTCGTAGGGCGGCAGCTCGGCGGCGAGGGCTTCTGGGTTGAGGCTGTAGAACTCCACGTCCAGCTCCGGCTTGCTGCGCCCCTGGGCTCCTCGGGTGGTGGTGTCCTCTGGGCCGAGGCTGGGGTCGGACTGCCGGGCGCGGGCCAGGCGGAGCATCACCGTGCTGTCGCGCTCTGAGGGGGAGAAGGTCACGAAGATCGGGGTGCCGTGGCATATCCGATTGGCGTGGGTTTGGAGGCGCATGGTCTTGCGCACCTCGTGCGTGCCCGGGACGTTTCGACTGCGCGCCTCCGTGTTGTCCAGGACCTGGCACCGCTGTCGGGCTTGCTTTGGGCCCTCGTTGTAACCTGGCTCTTGGTAGCTTGCCTGCTCCGAGTGTGGCCTCCTACGGCGTTTCTACGGGTTTTCAGGCGGCGACGGAAGGGAGGCTTGCGCTGCGGGTGGCTCCGTGCCTTATAGGGCTTTCCTTTGCGCGAGCTTCGGGCCTTCAGGGCTGCTTCTGAGAGCCCTGGGACGAAGCGCAGTTTGGTGAGGTCTCCGTTGACGGGCTTCAGCTGGTTGTTGATGTCGAGGTACTGGCCTCTGAGGAGCTTTTGATGGATCTGCTTTTGCCCCTCCAGGATCTCCTTGGTGGTCAGGGCCCTGCTCTCGTGGTTCTCGTCGGCGACGCTGTAGATGAAGGCGTTCCCCTGGGTGTTAACCATGGTCCTGAAGAGGTAGTTCCAGAGGGTGAAGCCGAAGCTCCAGTCTCGCCTGAATTGGGTTTCTGCCCGGCGCTGCATGGCTGTTGCCCATTCGAAGATCTGCACTTGGGGGGCCTCCGGGTTCTTGTCTCGGCGGCGTCCTTGCGCTGACGCCCGGTTGCTTGCTGTGCTGTTGCTGTTCTGGACGTCGGACAGGCGGTGCCGTGGGCGAAGCAGAAGCTGAAGGCCGTGGCGAAGTAGAGCGGCTGGAACTGGTCCACCAAGATGTTGCCGGTGCGCACCTCCATGGTCTCGAGGACATTCTCGTTCTCTTCGTTGCTGCGGAGCTGGGTTTGGAGGTCGTTGAGTGCGGCCGTGGCCACGGCGTTCTGGTCCTCGCGGTCCGTGCTGCAGCCTTCCGGCACGACGGACCGGGCTCGCTGGTCGGCGAAGATGGCGCCGGCCCGCTGCATGTCCTGCTCCGGCGCGTCCGTCGGGGCGGCGGCCTTCTGCGGCTGCAGCTTGTGGGCGGTCTCGTCGTCCTCGCTCCGGCCGGAAATGATCTTGAGTACTTCCGGCGGCACGCCGCCCTCTGGCAGCTGCGATGCTGCCTCCCGCACATCCGCCATGCGCAGGTGCTGGAACGCGGGATGCCCGAGGCGCTGCATGTCGTGGATGAGGTTCACGACTACGTCTCTCCGCACGGTGGCCTGGGGGAGCAGCGTCTTGATCTCGGTCTCGCTCGTCTTGCCCGTTTTGTTCGTCTTGAGGAGCACCCTCGCGACCTCGGCGAGCGCCTTGCCTGTGCGCGGCAGGCTGGGGGGTGCTGCCGCTCCCGCTTGGTCCTGCTCCCTGGCAACTTCTGCGTGGTGTGCCTCTAGGTTGCGCAGGAGGTCTTCCCAGGGGAGGGGAAAGGTGAGGGCGTTGCCGCGCGCGCCCAGGCGGTGACGGGCGTTCTGGGCTTTTTCGTCTAAGGTGGTCCCTTCGCTGCGGTGCCGCGCTTCCATGGACATGCACACCAGGGTCGTCACGCAGGGGCTTGCGCAGATCATTTCCATCACTGTGACCTTCTCTGCGTGCAGGCGCGCCGGGGAGTAGCCTGTCCACATGTCATTGCACAAGCCCAGGGGCGGCAGCTGGCCGTTGTCCAAGTGTTGCGCGCAGTCGCGGCAGAGGGGCACCTCGCAGTGCTCGCAGAGCGTGTGCTGGCTTGGGTGCTGGGGATTGGCGTGGCAGCGGTGGTCTTCTGGGCAGCAGAGTATGTCGCCGAGCCCGGGGCTGGTCACGGTCCACTCGTTCAGCTCGGCCACGTCGGTGAGCTTGACGTCCCCGGCCAGGTCGTCGTAGAGCCCCAGGTACTTGTCGATGCTCAGGATGTCGTGCAGACGTTCGGTTGTCTCGGCGTGGGTCCTGTCGTTGCTCGGGGGACCCTGGATGAGCCTGCGCCAGCGGATGGGGCCCGCGGCCTCGGCGTCGGCCACGCGCGTGTGGATGCATGCGCAGCAGAAGCAAATGATCGCTTCCACCCTGTCTTTGCTGGTGGCTTCGGCGAAGCTCCGCAGCGCGCTTCTGTCCCGCGAGCTTCCTGCCACGGGTGCGGCATCTCTGCACCGCAGGGCTATGGCTTCGTTGTAGACGCTGGCCAGTGCATCGGCCGGGATTGGCTTGGGTAGGTGCTGTGCGACGCTCTGCAGTGCTGTTGCGTGATCTTGCTGGACGTGCTCTCGAAGCTCTTGCTCGGTGCCCGTGAGCAATGACCAGTTGCAGCTCTGGAAGGCGCAGAACTGTCCTGGCCAGGGTTCCCCACGGTCGAGGTCTTCGGGCCTGGCTCCGGGCGGTATCAGCGGCTGGGCTCGCGGCTGGGTGTGTGCGAGGTGCCGGAGAGCCTCTTCCAGTTTCCGCCGGGGGTGGCTGCTGTCCGGCGCCACGGGCATGCTGGTGAGCTCTTCCAGGAGGTTGGGCTCGTCCTGTGCCTCTGGCTCGGGCGGTCGTGTCGCCGGCTTCGACGGCGTCTTGCGCGCCTGGGCCTGTTGCTGGGCCTCCTCTCCGCCGGCGGCGGTTCTTCTGCGCTTGGCTGGGCGCGGAATCGGGTGGGGTGGTGGTGGTGGTGGTGGTGGTGGTGGCAGTGGTGGTGCTGGTGGCGGTGCTCGGTCTATGGGCACCAGCAGGTCGTAGTGGTCCCTGCCGTTGTACCAGAGATGGATCACTTCCGTGGCGTTCGGTGCTGCGTGCGGCCCGCGTTGGGCTGCTTTTCGTCCACGTCCGAGTGCGTGCGCTCGCTCGTGAGGATGTCGCCGTTTGGCGTCCGGCAGTGCAAAAGGACTCGCTGCTGCCTCATGCGGGTGAAAGCGATGATGGCCGTGTCGCCGCCCCAGTGACCCGGATCGCTTTGGAGGTATTGGCTTTCCTGTAGCCAGGCCTGCACTTGCTCTTCGTCTTCTTCGGCTTCTGCGTTCTCTCTGAGGTACTGGATGATTAGGGCTCGGAGGCATGCCCCGCTCTCGACGGTGTTCTCTCCGAGCGCGTGGAAGAGGCAGTTGCCGTCGCCTGACATCTTCTTGATGGCCAGCATGCCCCGAAAGTGCTCCTCTCGGGTGCATTGTCTGCGTGCCTAAAGAGCGCTCTTGACAGTGGATGCTCGAGGGAAAACGCCGGCCTCGACGCTGGGTCCGGGCTCCGTGTCGTGGTCGGAGTCCGTCTCGGCCCCCCCTCGTCGCGCGGCCGGTTCTTCGTGAGATGGTTCAGCGGCATTCCTTGCGAGCTTTGCCGCTTCCACGGCTTCGTTTCTTGGCGGTGTTGCCTCGGCGGCTCTGTCGGCCTGTGCACACAGTGGGTCTAGACGCTTGCCGGGAGGTGTTGTGCGCCTTTTGGGTGTAGCTTCTCTCCGGTGCCTCTGCTCGCTGGAAAGCTCGATCCAGGGCTCTCTCGTCGTCGGCCGTCCATCGTGGCTGGCGCGGCAGTGGCTTCTTGGGGGCCTGCAGGTCACGATGCCGCGTACGGCTTGCTTTCTTCTTTCTATGTCTTTTCTCGTGGCACAAGTCCTTACTTGCATTCCGGCCGTGATGCCTTCTTCCGTCGGGGTGTTCTTGGCTTCGCGCCGGA